AGCACTATAGTTTTCATTCATAGAATAAGTTTAATTCCAACTGTTTTCAGCTTACCTTTTTTCTTTAAGCGCCGCCAATTTCTAGTTATGCTTTTGTCATGACATTAATAAAGCTCAGGGACAAACGTTGAACAAAATTGTCATCAATTTATTTCATCCTGTTTTTAACATGGACAGCTATATGTGGCTATGTCTCGGGTTTGCTTTCCTCATAAACTATAGATTATAACCAATGATAAATCAAGAACTACAACCAATGTGGTGTATCGTGAGGTTATATCCGATTGATGTTTTATACGAATACGAATAAACAATACTTAATATGATTTTTTTTTTATAATATAAATAAATTTATATATCTATTTTAAGTATCCTACTTATTTTTAAAGCTATCCATTTTGTGGCCGAACAATATGCCCAACTTGATAATTGGTTCCCCGAACAATATTCGTCTTTATTCCTAATATACTTACTATTTTAAATAATATTATTAAATGTTTCTATAATTTTTATTTATCAATAAATAAGCTATTGATAAACATTGATTTATATTATGGCGATTCAATAAATTTTTTTAAAATTTATCTATTCTACCCCATATCTATATTGTAATTTTAAATAAAACTTTGATATCTCATGTTTTGTGATTCATCGCTTTTTGTTACTCACCACTATTTGAGATTCATGGCTATCTCTTATTCCGTGCCATTTGTGATTTCCATGCTACACTCTCCCCGACCGAAGGTCGGGCTAGGGCGATGCCCTAGTCTTTATAATTTTCTCAACCTTTTGCAAATAATTTTTTAACACTCTTAATTTCAATCGCTAATCCCTCTACAGTAATATTGTTTGCCAAACGAATGTTTTAATTTTTTTATGTTTAGGAAATTAAGATGCCTATCTTAATTAAAGATTTTTTAAAATGTGCTTATTAATTTATTCAAAAAAATTAGGAAAATATTTAAGTCTTAGGATACTCTTCCCAGGGGCGTCGCTAGCCTTCACACTCTCAGGGGGCTCAACTAAAAAAGCCCCCCATACTTCCCAATTTGTTTTATATAAATATATTATACTTTTTTAAAATTTGTTAACTCTGAACAATTATTCTGATTTTCAAATTTTGTCATTTATTATATTATGCATACAAAATAAACTGGCATATAAAAAATCACATAATGCAATAATATAATTCTTAGCAACTTATATTGACAGAAGGTTATCAAACTAGTATAAATCTCTGTAACCATTTTAGACAATGTTTTATAGAATGGACTAATAAGGAAAAATGTATAGGTCTAAACCAAATCAACAATTTTTATAGTAGAGAGTATAAACGACCAATCCAAATCATAAAACTATATGGTGGTTAGAGCTTCCTCTTAGATGACATTATGGAAGCTAGATAAGTAATTGAGAAAATTATAGTGAGATATTAAATTTCTAAAAGATTATCTTCCATTTTAAATGATATATAAACGACTACACAGTTGACCATTATTGTTTATCTAAAATCTGCAATTATATGCTCTCAGCCGTTATAGTAATAATCTTAAATTACATAGCAACACAAATAATAGATGCTGGTGAATTTGCAGTAATAGCCATGACACTCACGATGTAAACTAATATCAGAATTTATTATGTTGGATAAATTGATAAAATAAAAATACTAAATATTTGGAAGAAATAATTATGCAAATATATTGACGCCTGGAGTTATTTACACGGCAATGCCATATTAGAAATGAAACATTTTCTAACTATAAAATAAGTACCAGAATGATATGATGAAACAATTAAGATTTTTTATATTGTCGCACCACCTTGGTATATTATATCTTAAAAAAATAGTATTTTGTAATAATATCAAAAATATACTTGTATTAAAAATTTAACTCAAGGCTGTTTTTCGAAAATGAAAAAAATAGCTTTCCTAAAAACACATAAAAAAAGAGAAGAAAAGATATCAAATTTATTACATCTATTGCAGGATGAATAAGGCTGCATTCATAATGGAGACGGATCCGATTTTTACATCCGTTCCGTCAAAAGTCAATCTCATCAAAAATGATATATATGTTCATAGTGCGTCCGTTCCGATACCTTCCGTCTTAAAAACGGATCCGGCATATTTTGAAGTCAAAACATTTTGACTTTTTTATCCGGCAAATCTTATAGAGCGTTATAACGCTACTTACAATTTTTTTATAGTCTATGAACATTTATATCATTTTTAATGAGTTTGACTTTTGACGTAACGGATGTAAAAACGGATCCGTCTCCACTATGAATGCAGCCTAATAAAAGGTTTAATTTTAAAATTTATTTATAATAAAATAGATGGCGTTAAATACTTGAATGCAATTTGTTATTATATAATATCAAAACCATTTATCAGTAAAATTTATTATAATATTAACTGTAATATATTATATAACTGTCAAATACTACTATAAAATATCTGATATTTTATAAACAACTGTATATAGTAGAGGGTTATAAACTATATGTCTACTTACTTTTTATAAAGAAATCTCTTATACTTATTTGGACCTTGAAAATATTTTTAGGGTATGATAATAAAATTTCAAAATAAATATACAGTTGATTAGTCATTTTGAACTTGGCTAATTACAATAATAAATTTGTTAATTTTCAAATAATATATGATTATATTTATTTAATTAGGGTTAAATAATAATTTAAATAATAAAAGTCAATTAAACTTCAACTGTTAAAGCTAAATTAATATTTAGCTAGTTATTGATATTATATTTTTAATACAGAATTTGATCGCAAGCTGACATAGTGAAAAGATGATTTATATGTATTAATCTAATCTAATAATTAAAATAATATTCATTTAATAAAAATTTAAATAGTCTTATTAATTTCTAAATAATAAAATTATATCTATATATTACTTAATGGAATTATAAAAGAAATCTTTCAGTGGGCAGTCAAAAAAATTTATTTTTAGTTCAAGGGGATATTAAGGAGCCATTAAAAATAATTTTCTTTGCTTCAGGGGGCTATTCAAATTTTTCAGGGGGCTCGAGCCCCTGCGCGTTTTCCCTAGCGACGTCACTGACTCTTCTTCTATGTATTCTGCAATTATAAAGTTTCTCAAGGCCTCTTTATTCAAGAACCTTTTTCCAATTGGCAAAACCCGCTTGGTATAAATTGAATCATCATTGTTTAATTATAGATCTCAAAAGGAGGAAAAAACTGAATCAGCTTTAATTTATTATTCAAATTATAGATATTTATAAAATTTTAAAGATAATATTTTTTCAATTAGTAACAGTCATTTTGAGTGATGTTGGTATTGTTGTTGAAAAACCTGATTTGGGTCGATTTATAAAATTAAATTTTAGCCAAAATAATATAACCTCGTCATTTGGCAAATAGATATCCAAACCTTTTTCCCATCTATGAGCAAAATCTCTAAACTTACATAATACTATTTTGGCTATAATTTTAATCGGGTTGTCTTTAAAATCAACCGAATCGGGTCTTCTAACACCAGTAGATATTGGTTTATTTGATGATACCTGATTTAAATCAGTTGTAAAATATTTGCAATAAGAATAACTTAAAAATCTAACCTATCTATCTTGTTTTTGCAAGCTTAGGGGCATTTACCCTATTCTGATCCTTGGCATCCTGTTCCTTATCATTCTTATACCAAATTGACTAAATTTATTTTTTTTCCTTTTTCATTACAATATGAAAGGCGTTGGCGCTATTAGGTATTTCAGAGGACATGAAAAAATAATTTTTTTAGACATAATGGTTTCACTAACAACACTTATTTTCCCCATTACATTCTTATTTTTAAAAAATTTATCAAAAAATATTTTTTTTTGTGTGGGTGGGGGTGGGAGGGGGCTCCCCCAAATAGACCTAGAATCGGACCTGAGTCTGGTACAAAGGGTACAAATAGGAACTATATTTTTATTAGTATAAAATATAATAAAATCTATATATATATATACTTTATATATAAATGCTTTTTTAAAAAATAAATTATAGTTATTAGTATTTTTGTTTAAAATATTATTTACTTTTACACATCTTTTCCATAAATTATATTTATGATATAAGCATACATTTTTGGGGGATAGAGAGTAGAGAGGAGTCTAAGTAGAATATTTTTTTATTAGCTTAAAATGATACAAACAAAAAGTGTCATATTTTGAAGCGGAAGGATTCAGCCTTACCCCCCCCCCCCCCCCATGATAACGCATCTGTAACAGTTACTACTTAATTCTTAGCATTTTTGCCCTTATTAATTATTTTATTAATAAAAAGATTGTGTTTATGTCGAGCTTAAAAACTATGATTATAAATTTAATAGATGAACTATAAATTCTTTACTCATATAATCGTGCACAGAACAGATGTCAAAATAGTATTCATATGTCATTACTTATAGTTTCGAGAATTTGGTATTTCTTATTTTTAAAATGAACACAAAACACAAAGAAATGGTTTTTTGAAAATTTGCTATTTTTATTTATATTTTAAATTAATAATATGGTCCTATCGTCATAACATATCATTTAAAAAGTATAACCATTTTATAAGTGATTATTTTAAAATTTCTTGTTATAATTTAAAATTATTTTTATGAATTCATATTAATGAAGGATAAATTTTTTTTAAAATATGTGTAGACTAATTGTCATTTTAGGATATTGTGACTTTTTATATATGAAACTTATTTTTAATTGTAACAATTAGATTATCTTCTACTAATTAATAAATTATTTAAAAAATTATGTATGGTTATAATTTAAGTATTGTCAATGGAAGTAAAACATAGTAACATAATTTAAGGTGGTAAAATTATTTAACTTTTCTACATTTATCATAATTTTTTACAATATAAATTTGCTTTATTAATTTGGTTATTTTTGCACTGCATTATACGTACATGATATATTTATTTTTTTTTCTACATAATTTTATAAGTAATAAAAAATAATTTTTAAAAGATGATGCTTGACAATAAAAAGGTAAAGAGTATCTTTAGCAAAAAAAAAAGTATAGATTCTCATTTATCTAGGTTCTTTTATGCATGGGATGATACATTGAAATCATTAAACACTATATTTGAAGATATAAATGCATTGAATTATCTATATAATGCTGATAATAATCAAAAGTTCATAAAAGTTGATGATCATTTAGACAATAACCAAAAAGATCCCACAATATTTAATGTGATGCCCTCAACATCTGAAAAACTATATTCAAAAAAAATTAATTGTAAGGATGATGCATTTTTTATTGATGATGAAACTAAAAAATGTGTTAAAATAATGCCAATATCATTATTTAATGATTCAAATAAATATGTATTTAATTCCCAAAATTTACAATTAATAATTGGAAATAAATGTTTAGTAAATGTTTCTCCATGCAATTCCTTGCCAGTGAATGTCACCTCTTCAAAATCTTTTCTACCGCTTGATAATAAATATAGTAAACAGTGGTTTGAAGGAGTTATTGACAAAATTAAATTTGATAAATATGATCAGCCTCTATTTAAAATCAAAATATCTAATTTTGATGAGCAAAGGAAACTAACCGTCATTACCACATGGTTGAATGCCAGCAACTTAGCTTATGTAAGTTACCCAAATTCATCTCTACCTATAGGAACACGCATAGTGTCATTGCACCCCAAACTATCAAATAAAAGTGCAAGACATGGATTAAAGTTAGCTACGATTTTAGAATCATTAGGAGCTCGAAATAAAAATAGGTATCTTGTTATGTTTGATGATTGGGTTTTCACCTACGTTTTACCCACAAATATATATCTAATCGCCAATTTTAATAAGATAGATGTGATGGAATTATGGAGAGAAATACCTACTAATGCGAAGTATTTTGTGAAGATGTATTTAGAAAAATTTCCTGAAAGAGCCCTTGTTCATTTAAGGGTTGGGCAAAAAATTAATGTAAAATGTGGTAATAGTTGGTCAGCAGCACAAGTTATTGAAATAGATGTCAGTTTGGCAAAATTTTATTTAGAAGCCCTCGATAAATATATATGGATGTATCGAGGATCGTTTCGGTTGGAACCATTGTACAAGGAAATAAGTTTGAAAAATTTTAAAAATGTTAATAGAAGGCGTCATTCTCATGTGAATCGTAATAAGAATTCTCCTTATGTAGAATATAGTTTTATAAATACTGCACCTTTAGATGAGAACTTATATTCTAACGAAAGTTCTGACTGTAAAATTATCAATATACCAAAGGACACACAAGTTTTACACCAAAATTATGTGCACAACAATATATTTGATACATGTTTTTCGCCTCAATTAATATCTAAAAATAACTACTATGTTTGCAACCATGAATGTGCATCATTATTGGGAAAAGAACTAGAAACAAAAAACAGAATTTCAAAATATTGCTTTAGTGATTTGGCCAAACCATTGTTAGTTGGTTGGGGTAGATGTTTTGAGGATTTGTGCTATTATGTTACACCTTCTTGTGACAATCCTTTACATTTCCGTACCAAACTTTATTCCATTGAAGAAATTTTTGAATTTTTGATAAAAACGTCAAATACTACATCAACTTTGACTATCGATAATTTTACCTTCGAACCGTTGTTTATTAATGTTATCGAATTAAATAGGTTTCCCTTTTTTTATGATTCGCGTTTTACCATACTTAATTTGGATATAACGGAGGGCAAAGAGCGCGTTCCAATATCTTGCCTCGTTCAATCCACTATCAAAAATACAAAGCTTCCCAACTTTATATACGATCCAAAACGCATACCTTCCCCCGGAGTTACATTTGATAATGGCCCAAGCTTTTTGGTTGGCTGCGATTGCTCAGATGGCTTTTGTACCGATTCAAAGGCGTGTGCTTGCAGATCCTTGACATTTGAATCACTTAAATGCGCCGAAAAATTTCTCGAAGTGGATGACGACTCTCATAAGCATACACCTTCTAGAACTGTTGGTTACAATCACAAAAGACTGAGCAATAAAGTTTTGACCGGTATATACGAATGCAATCCCAATTGCAAATGCAGTCACTTACATTGCTCAAACAGAGTTGTGCAAAATAATATAGGCGGCGCGCGTTTGCAAATATATTTAGATCCACACAAGGGGTATATATATATATAATGAGAAAATAATTATTTTTACCTAATTAATCATTATATATTTAAAAAATATTCCCAGGTGGTGTTGTCGCACGTTGGATGATATACCGAATGGAGCTTTTGTATCGAATTATAGTGGATATATTTTGACGGAGGAGATGTCCGACTACTATGGGCTACAGTCACCAGAAGCTGACGAATATTTTGCCGATTTAGATTTTATTGAATGTGCAGAAAATGGTGGCGCTTCTGAAATCGAATCAGACGATGGTCTCTTTGATGATGAAGAAGATTTATATGTTATATGGGAAGAAAAAAAGAATAGGCCAGTAAAAAATTTGGGTCATCTTAAGGCACTCGCGAAATTTAAAGATATGCTCGATGATTACGTCGAAAGCGAACAAGAAATAAAGATAACTTATTCAAATGTGCCCGAATCAACAGACAACATATTTCAAAAAAAATTAACCCCAGAATTTTCACCCTTGGGTGATAAAATCACGAATACCAAAAATACACGCTATTTTTGTTCTGGGCAAAATGGGCTCTACGTTTTGGACGCTAAACGTAGGGGTAATGTGGGCCGATTTTACAGTCATAGTTGTGAGCCCAATATGTTTGTTCAAAATGTTTTTGTTGACACCCATAATCTATGTTTCCCTTGGATCGCATTTTTCGCTTCTACCAATATAAAGGCTTATGAAGAACTAACTTGGGATTATGGTTATCAAGTAAACAGTACCGGGAAAATGATCATTTGTAAATGTGGTTCCGAAAATTGTAGAGGAAGATTATTATAGTGTAGTATTTTTTGTGCAGTTGATTGTAATTAATTTAAAGTTATTTTTATAAATTAAATAAATTGAATGCTAATAATTCACTAACATGAAAAATTTATATTTAAATAAAGATATATTATCAATTTCATGTTACAGAATCATTGGACATTTTTTTTAAAGAATATGAATTATTAGAATGAAAAAGTAAAGTTAGCATAAATATTCTTCCTTTAAATGAACATTTTACCTAAACTCATGCAATCACCACTTTAAATATATGAGGATACCAATCGTTAAATAAATGATATACTTGATGGAAAATTATTATTCTTTTTAAAAAAAATGCCTTAGTGATTATTAGAAACCAGTGTCTACATAAAAGGGGGGTAGGATGAGGGAGGGGGTAAATCGAGGCTTGCGAAATTTACTCTCGCGAAGACGCTGCATGAATAACCTATTTATTTAGGTATGATGTTAGATAAAATATGAGTAAAAAGCTTGTAAATGTTCAAAAATAAAATTATGAACTAATTTAAAAAATGACATAAAATAAATTTGCAAATTAAAAATTTTTTGAAGAAACGTAACTAAACGGGGAAAATTTTTTATTTGTAGCTTTGGCGATAATGCACTTCCTTTTTAGAGAAATTGTTTTCTAAGGAAATTTTCCAATGTAAGATATTTTCAAGGAATATTTCCTGATAATTTTCTTGAAGAGTTTTTTTATGATAAATAATTTTCTGGGAATCATGAATAACAATGATTGTTTCCAATTGGAAATACAATTAATAATATTATAAAAAGTTGCTATGAATGAATTTTAATCACAATCCGGAAATTTTATCGCCGGGGTGGCTTAGTGGGTTATTATGTATGCTTGGAAACAGAAGATCCCAGGTTAAATCTTGGTAAGGAACTTAAAATTTTCAGGTTTTTCTTCGATGACTGATGTGTAAAGACATATGATAAGATGAATTTTGGAGCTTAGAGATGAACCCCGGTCACCGACAGGCTTGGATGAAGATTTCATATGCATATTCCTAATATCAGAGTCGGACAGTTACAAATAGCGTAAAGCTCTTGATTCTTCCATTTTGAAAATGTAACGAAGAGCCTCCATAACCTTTATATTTGTTTGTATAAAGTAATATTTGTTTTAAATTTTTTATGATTTCTAATTTATTTATAAAAATATATTCGGTATATCGTTTACTAATGGAGATACACCTAATTTCACTTACACAATTTAGGTTATTCTATTACCAATTTTATTTCCTTGATTAAATATTTTTTTTAAAAAATAAAAAATGTATACAAAGAAATAAAATATTATTCTTTAAATCTGATAAAATTAATTTATTTTAAAGTTAACAGAAAAAAAAGAATACTAAATAAAAATTATATTAAAATCATATATGCTTGAATAAATATTATAAGTAGATTAAGTTAAGTAATACTATTAACAACAACAACGACCATTTCAGATATTTGAAAACTATACTCTCTTTGCCTACTTTAGCCCTAGCATGATCATTAAAATTATTGCTCCTGTTTGCTTTATTATTTATTTACTCGATTCTTTATATTTGTATCACGTCAATTCGGCGCGGAAAATTCGGCGCTGCGACAATTCAGCGCAACGTCAATTCGGCGCGGCGACAATTCAGCGCGTATCTATTACAGTTGCAATTATTATATATTACTTATAAGGAAGATTAAATAGAAATCATTTTGAATGTTGGTCCTATTAATTATTTCTTTATATTTACTTTTACAAAAATCTCAATTTTATTTACTAAATGTGTAATATCAAAAAAAATTAACAACCAATATTTATACCTATTTCTTTGGTTGACCAATTTACCACATAAGGTATGTTGATTAGTAGCCAATGTTATGTAAGCCGAGATTTTGGGCACAGAAGAAAAAAAGAAAAGCTTGGACCTCTATCTCGAATCTTACATATTATTTTGGCTGGAATTTAAATTGACCGTTTTTAAAAATAGACCCAGCCATGGTCCAAAAAAATCAAATTAAAACTGACTCACTTTTTAGATTTATTAAAAATCCTTAAATTCTATTAATCCCTTTTTAAAAAAATATTATGCTTAGGCTAATTTTTTCTATTATATAAATCAAATTAAATGTGAAATATCAAAAAAAATTTACAGCCAATATTTATACCTATTTCTTTGGTTGACCATTTTATAACATAAGATATGTTGATTAGTAGCCAATGTTATGTAAGCCCAGATTTTGGGCATATTACTTATCAGAGGGGTATATTATTTTTTTAAACTTTTATAATTTTATATTTTTTTTATTTTCTAAAATTAGGCGTGAAAAGCGGATTTAAGATTTAACATTAAAGTACTTATCAGGGGGTTATTTTGGGTCTATTTTTAAAAACGGTTGATTAAGATTTTAGACAAAATAATATATAAGATTAGAGATAGAGGTCAAATCTTTCTTTTTCTTTCTTCCTTCTATGCGCAAAATCTCCAAGCTTACATAATATTGGCTACTAATCAACATAACTTATAATGTGGTAAAATGGTCCATTAAAGAAATAGGTATAAATATTAGTTAATTTTTTTCGATATACATTTAGTAAATAAAATTGAGATTTTTGTAAAAATAAATATGAAGAAATAAATAATAATACCAACATTCAAAATGAATTCTATTTAATCATCCTTTTTATACTAAGTAATTGATAATAAATTGCAACTGTAATAGATACGCTCCGAATTTTCGCCGCGCTGAATTGTCACCGCCCCAAATTGACGCTGCGCTGAATTGTCGCCGCGCAGAATTGACGTGGAACCTTATATTTTATCATTTTCTTTTTATCTTCTTATATTGTACAAAAATCCTTAGAATTTTTTTCGTAAATCTTTTATAATATATATTATATAATTCAATATTTTTTTAAAATATTTATGATTGGGGTTTTTAAAGAAGGCTATAAAAATTTTTCTTTAAAAATCCAATATTATATCAAAAATTTTGAAATAAATATCTTAAAAAATATAAAATAAGGAACTTTTGTTTATCATATTAGATATTAAAAATAGTATTTTATAAAAACGATTTTCAATATTCTATGTAAAAATAAAGATATTTTCTTTAGACATTATATCAAAAATTTTGCATTAAAGGAATCAATGATTCAGGTGGCTCAGCAAAACACACAAAAGGATGTTAAAGTACTGTTGTAAACAAACGCGTACGTGAACGAAGTTCGTTTTTTTAAAAAAAATGTTGAACGGCGCTCCTTTTATTTTTGACGAACTTTGAATGTGAACACGTTCCTTTTTTATGACGAACGCGTTCGAATTTAACGTTCGTTCAATTTTAAAAACAACTTTTATTTTTATTTATTTGAAAAACTTAATATTAATTCAAATTTTTAAGAAAAATGTTTTTTTATAATCAACTGTTTTTCCTTTTCATATTTCTATTTTTTTTAATACACAATTATTATAGTTAATTAATTTGAATATTATTGTTTATATTTTAATTTAATAGATTTGCATAAGTATGGAATTATTATTTCATCATCTGATTCTGAAAATTGAAAATTAGATGAATTAACATTACCATGACCCAAATATGATAAATATTTTACAATAACATCCTATATTGAAGGAACTAATTCAATACTAACCAAATGTGAAATGGACCCAAAAAGTATTATATAGCTTCAAAATCTTCAAGTTCCAATTTTAAACGACATTTGATTGTAATATTAATTATTTTATATAATATAAGTAAATCATTAAATTTGAAAAAATGCATTTAGGTTATTTGACCCCAACAATAACGATAGTTATTTTAAAATTAAAAAAAAATTAGTAGCCTAAATTATGGTCAACTATTGATAGACGCATTATTAAATTGGATTAATAAAAATATTAAACCTATTATTATCAAATTAATTACATATATTTTATTTTTTAAGATTTGAACATATATATGAAGATCAATATGTTCTTTCTGCAATTATACATCCAATATTCAAGCTTTAATGGCCATAGATAAAACTTCCTCAGAACAAATCTATAAAAAATAAACTTATAGCGTTATTGATGAAAAAATGCATTGAAAACCCCAGAAATGATAATGCAAGAACTGTTAATTTCGGGATATCCTTTTTTTGACGAGTAAGTAAAAGATGGATTGGAGGAGGATAACTTGCCTCAATTTTTTGAAGCAAGGACAAAACAATAAATTATTTTAATAAATTCCCCACGTTAAAAGAGTTGTTTATTAAGTATAATATTGCAATCCCATTATCTGCCTCTGTAAAGCGCGTTTTTAGTATAGCTAATGTCGTATTAACTGCCAAGTGTTCTATCTATCAAATGAAAATTTTGAAAAACAATTGTTAATAAAATTTTATAAGAAAAAATTTTTATTAATAAAAATATCTTTTTATTCACTATTATATAATATATATAATTATATTATCAAAATAAAACTATATTATTATTTAACATGGCTAATATATTGATTAAAATATATAAATCATTTATTTAATTAAATTAAATATAAATTTTTTTTTATCATATTTGAACGAACGTAAACGCTTTCCTTTTTTTTGAAAGGGAACGCGAACGTGAACGCGTTCGATTTTTTTTAGAAATGTTTATAGCACTATGTTCAAGCGATTCTTGAGCAGTAGCTCTATCGTGGGGATCCCTGAGAAGTATCAACTCTAAGAAATTCAAAAGTCTAAGGCTTAACTATAATATAAACGATTTTAAATTATATTAATTTTAAAAAAATTGAAAAAATCAAATCGTTCAAAATTATACCATCTCAAAACTCATTCACAAAATCATATAAATGGATATAATATAATTTAATAGAACTAATTTAACATAATAAAATATAGCTGAGAGTACTTATGTTAGACAAAAGCTGGTTGGCCTAGTGGGTTATGATGATGCTTGGAAACAGAAGGTCCCAGGTTCAATCCTGGTATGGAACGTAAAAATTTTCAGGTTTTTCTTTGATGACTGATGTGTAAAGACATATGGTAAGATAAAT